CGGCCTCACTACGGCCCCCTTGGTTTTCACCAAGTTATTGCAGGTAGTAGTTGGGCACCTCCACAGTCTCAAGGTAGATGCACAAATCTACATTTAGTGGATCCAGTTATCCTGTCCCGGAGCACGAGGTCAGTTCTTGGCGTTCTTGGCCGCCTAGGGTTCATCCCTTCCAGAGTGAAGTCAGAGGTTCTCCCCTCCGAGGATTTTGTTTTCCTCGGTTATCGGTTCAGAACCGATCTGGGGTTGGTCCTTCCACCAGCGTCCAAATTCGAGAAGGCCTCTCTGTTGGTCTCCGTTCTGGTCGGTGTGGAGCGGATTCAGGTTCGATAGTTCCTTCGGTTCCTCAGTTACCTAAATTCACTGGCGGATGTGGTTCCCTTGGGTCGGCTTCACATCCGTCCGCTCCAGCTGTTCCTTCTGTCAGTTTGGTCGTCTGAATGTTCTGGCCGACACTCTGTCTCGGTCTCGGAGTCCGGTTCTCACCGAATGGACCCTCAAGCGTTCGGTGTCCCGGTCTTTTTGCCTGGTTTGGGACAGATCCCATGTCTCGGCTGTTCCAGTCTCTCCAGCCCGGTCGCTCCGATATCTCTGCGGCGACCATCTCGCGCTGGATTGTTTAGACTGTTCGAGCTGCGTATGAGTCGGCAGGGGATCAGTCCTAGCGGGTGTCAGGGATTAGGGATCATGAGGTTCGCGCTTTAGCTACTTCGTGGGCCTTATTTAATGGTTCTTCTTACGCTGAGGTCATGACAGCTGCTGATTGGAGGGGTCATTCTACGTTCACGGAGTTCTATCTCCGATCTTTAGCTGGACAGTCTGACGGGTTGTATTCTTTGGGCCCTCTTGTGGCTGCCCAGTCCGCTGTCTGTCCTCCATCTTCTTTTGCATGAGCCTCATTATGTCTTCGTCCGCGTGATTCGGAACGCTGGTCGTAATCAGGCTCTGTGTCACAAAAGAAAATATATTTTAAATTTTTCCTCTGGAGGCATGGGTCCTATTGTTGGAACCCTTTATCGCTCCACGGAGACACTACTGCGGTAAGTCGAATTCGCATTATAATGACTGTGGTAACGTTTTTTGAAATATAATTGAGGTTTCTCTTGAGTAACCAATTTCTATAATAAATACTTACCAAAGTCATTAGGTGAGTTATTTTACGTATGTAAAGAGCCAAGTAGGGTTGAAAAATGCATTATAATGACTGTGGTAAGTATTTATAATAGAAATTGGTTTCACAATAGAAACTTCAAGTTTACAAAGCCACTATCGCCATCTCTAGATGTAACTTGTAGGAAAGGGATATGTATATCACCCGTTTAAGAGTGACATAAAATTGAATATTGAAACGGCCACAGTACACAAGTATACCACCTTTCAGCAGCGAATTCTGATTTATTTTAATCAGTCTTATTGATAGTGCCTATTGGTTTTTTTTATGTCTGATATAGAAATAAGACCGATTCACACACAATGTACCAGACAGTTAACAAACTTTCAAATTTCTTCTTTAGGCATTGCATATTTAATTTACTTTTAACGAGGAAACTTTCATCATCGTTTTATTTAATCAAAATAGTGTCAGCAGGAGGATGTATAACATCATTATTTTAAATGTAAATCAATATTAAATAAACCCCGATGTTGACAAACGTCATTTAAAGCTGTAAAGACACATACTGTATCTATAAAGACATATGCTGTATCTATTCAGACACACACCGAATCTATAAAGACACCTGCTGTATCTATAAAGACACATACTGTATCTATAAAGACACATACTGTATCTATAAAGACATATGCTGTATCTATTCAGACACACACCGAATCTATAAAGACACCTGCTGTATCGTTTCTAATAAGGCACATACTGTATCCATTAATACACATGGTGTGTCTATAAAGACATATGCTGTATCTATTAAGACACATGCTGTATATATAAAGACAAAGCTGTATATATGAAGACATATGCTGTATCTATTCATACACATGCTGTATCTATTCAGACACACCGTATCTTTAAAGACATCTACTGTATCTATTCAGACATATGCTGTATCTATTCAGACACACCGTATCTTTAAAGACATCTACTGTATCTATAAATACATATGTTTGATCTGTTACGACACACACACTGTAACTATAAAGCGATAACGACACTTGCTGTATCTATAAAGATACCTGTTGTATCTATAAAGATACCTGTTGTATCTAAAAACACAGATACTGTATCTATAGAGACACATGGTGTATACATAAAGATACCTGTTGTATCTATAAACACAGATACTGTATCTATAGAGACACATGGTGTATACATAAAGATACATGGTGTACATATAAAGACACATATGTTGACCTATGAAGACATATGCTGTATCCATTAAGACACACGCTTTATCGATAAAGACACTTGCTGTATCTATAATGACACATACTGTATCTATGAAGACATATGCTGTATCTATACAGACACATACTGCATCTATGAAGACATACTGTATCTATAACGACAGGTACTGTTTCTTTAAAGACACATGTTGTATCTATAAAGACAGAAACTGTATTTATAAAGACACATGCTGCACCTATAAAGACATATATTGTATCTATAAAGCTGTAAAGACACATTCTGTATCTATAAAGACACATACTATATATATTAAGACACATTCTGTGTTTATGAAGACACATATACTGTATCTATAAAGACACTTACATAATCTATATTGCACAAACCCTATAATCAATGTAGAACAGGCGGCAGAATCTAAAGTGCAGCTTTTACCAAACAATTAACAGTTTTTAAATACCATTGCCTATATACGACTTGTACTAGTTTTTTTTTAAATCCCCGAGAAGATTTACATAACCATTGTATAACGCAGTGACGTAACGTCAGTATTATTGCGCACTTATCACTTCACTGTCTGCACCATCTCGTCAGTTTATTACCCGGTGTAACAGTTGCAGGTGTTTACCTTTTATGTACGGAATACCGAGAGAGGAACTAACTGCACATTTGAATACCTTGTAATGTAGTACTTGCAGTTTATATATTCATCTAGGGCTTTCTGTAGGTTGTGTGTGTCATAGAGTAGAACACACGTGTATAGTTGTACAAATGTTTCTGTAAAAATGTGATGTCTTTAAAATCTTAAAATGAATTAAAATATCTCTAAACATAGTTTAAAAAACCTTATCGCTGATTCATTTAAAACCATCTCTAATGCGTTCAAAAGTACTAGTATATTTGTGTATACATTTATATTTCTACACCAATTTGAAAAGGAAAATCAATTGGTGCTATTTTAAATGAAGCCTTTTCGCCTCCTCGATCCTGGTGTTGTGTTGGCCCGTTCCTGAACATCTATCTCACAGAGATTTCCATTGATCACACAAGACAAGGTAAAATGGCCTCAAAATGTTCACGAAATTCTTACACAACTCAAGAATCGCATGACTGAAGCGAATCGTTTGCGAATGCTGCATTTAATGGCTCATTCCCCGAACACCAACTCTGGAGAATTGAAAGGAAGGTGTTTATATAGGAAATCCTTTGAAGTTTAGTTATAGCCTGTTTCAACTAAGAATGTCAACTCATTTTGTAGATATGATACTATGGTCAATAATAAAATGGATAAAAAAAAAATATTTTCTACATATAACTGTAATACACATTTAACACAGAACTAAGTAATAGAAAATAATCATTAAGTATTATTTTTTACATTATATGAAAACGAAAAATAACATTACATTATATGAAAAACTAAATTCCTTAATTTAAGCCACATTGATACTAATGTCAGCAATAAAATACAGTTTCTATTCCTACATATAACAGTAATACACATTTAATACAGCACTAAAAGATAACCATTATTTAACATAAATATAAACAGTAAACCTTTGTGGAGCTAAAGTAGATGAAGAATTTTGCATGAATCATGATGATTTTAGTTGGAATGGATTTTTGGAATTCAGAAGTTTTGCCAAAAAGTATAATATCTTCCTTTATTTCGAATATTTGGTCAGTTTTTAAGTATATCCATCTACGTATGTCTTGCCAGAAGTTATTTGTTATTTGACACTGTTAAAANATTTTTTATTGTTTTTTGTTCAATGATTGAATTATGTCTTTACTTGGAGTAGGGAGAGATATAAACAGGTGATTCATTTTTGCAATGATAAGAGATTTAGGAACAGTTATTCTCCTTATAGGTGTTAAAATTCTTCTTGACCATTGATGTAACTTGCCATCTATAATACTAATAATTTTGTTGAAATTTACAGTAACCATGTCTTCTATATTGACAGAGAAATCAATCCCAAGTAAGGTAAATTTGATTGTTCCCCATTTTAGTTTTTTCAGTATTTACTTTTAACCCTGATATTTTAGCATATTTATATCATATACAGATTTTGTGCCATTTAAAATAACGGATATGTCATCAACGAACTGTGAGAGCCCGTGTTCTTTGATATTTATGTTTATGCCCTAAAGTTTTTATTGTTTTTTACTAATATTTCAACTACCAAAAGAAATAAGCAAGATGATACCGGATCCCCTTGTCTACAGACCCTTTTTATGTCTACAAAGTTGGGTTAAAAAAACATTCTGTATGATAGCCGAGGAAGTATTTGTATTAAAACATAACAGATAATAATATAAAACTGAAGTCACACAAGTTAAACATAATTCATAGAAATCTGAAAATAAGTACAAGTTTAACTAATATATGACAATATTTATAAGAGAATTCACACAAATCTAAAAATACAAGTTTAACTAATATATCATAATAAATATATGACTTATTCTGAAAACTGTTCTAAATATAATTATTATTTTGCAATTATTAGCAGTTATTGATTATCCTATTAGAAGTTGATTTACCTGTACACCATTTCTGCAATAGACTATAACTCACTATCATGACAACTGGCCACCTATGTAAACATGTGATTATAAGCAGAGTTGGTGTTCGGGGAAGACCCCCATTTAATGCTGCTTTGTAAAAGTGGGAGGCACTAATTACACTCGTTAACGCTGACATAACATTGTAGAGATTTAATCGTTTACACAACACATGGACGAGTTATTTTATCAACGTATAACATCAATGAAAAAAGCCATCCTGTTTGTAAATACGAACAAGCTTACAGTGTGTCATGCGAGACGTGTCGACACAACATCATGCATGCGTGCAAATAGTCCTACGCTCGTGACTGAACCTCGATATTCATTATTTCAGCAACAGCAGGAGCGACGAACGGTATTCCTGTTTATATACAGTGAAAAATACATCCATGAATTGGTAAGTAGTTCTATAAGGTAAATATCTCTCCAGTTAGCGACAAAAAACCCTTTTTACGCTTGCTTGTTTGTTTGTTTGGGGTTTTACGTCCTATGAAAGGGGCTATTTAGTCAAATGAAAACCTGAAAATCGTGTCGATACCAAAAATATGTATCTCCTAACGAAAGTTTCCGTAGTTGATAATGATATGACCTGAAGCTAACGTCCAATGCGGTCAGTTTCATCTTTTGGGAAAGCCGGTGATAAATATAGCAACGACCAAAGTTTTGTCGGCCGCTATCGGCCATCGTAGTCGACAGGGTAGTGCTGTACATATTTGATACTAACTGTGTTTTGTTCTCAAATAATCTATGTAATTAAGTACAAAACACATTTAGTTAGTTCAAACTAAACGTTTTTCGCCATTACAAATAATTAGGTACAAAACACATTTAGTAAGTTCGACTAAACATGTTTCGTCATGACGATTAATTATGTACAAATAACTATGTACAAAACAAGTCAGGTGTTCCTCTCTCCTTAATTTGTAATAAAACTTCCCCGATCTGAGGTGTGCATTTAATCATTATGATAAGGAATTGAAGTGTGTTCGACTTGGGCTGTACCAGCGCATAGACACTGTCCAAATGTGTGATGACATAATATCACTTGGCTTACTTAAACATAGACTTGCCATGTATTAATAGAGTACAGTATATATCAGTAGGTACCAACACTAAATATTAAGACACAAAGTACTATTCTGAAAGACCAAGCTATGTAGAACTTGATGGACTTCGCTATAGTTAACTTGTGTGATATCGATCATCTATCAGTGGTGAAGCTAGGCCGGTCTGTACACATTGCTTAGCTGGTTTGCTGGTACACCACGTCATAATGGAGGCTTGCATCTTGCGTGCAAGTATTGTAATTTGCGAATATTAATACTACCTATCATGATATAATTCAATCGCCTTGACACGTATTAGCTCTCCTCTGCGTCCACATATAGTTGTCACGTGAAGCAATAGATCATATCAAAGCAGTGGCACAGTATATGTATGTACAAAATATATGTATGTACAAAATAAATGTATGTACAAATTATATGTATGTACAAAATATGTGTATGTACAAAATATATGTATGTACAAAATATATGTATGTTCAAAATATGTGTATGTACAAAATATATGTATGTACAAAATATATGTATGTACAAAATATGTGTATGTACAAAATAGGTGTATGCACAAAGTATATGTATGTACAAAATATATGTATGTACAAAGTATATGTATGTACAAAATATGTGTATATACAAAATATATGTATGTACAAAATATAAGTATGTACAAAATAAATGTATGTACAAAATATATGTATGTACAAAATATATGTATGTACAAAATATGTGTATATACAAAATAGGTGTATGTACAAAGTATATGTATGTACAAAATATATGTATGTACAAAGTATATGTATGTACAAAATATGTGTATATACAAAATATATGTATGTACAAAATATATGTATGTACAAAATAAATGCATGTACAAAATCAATGTATGGATGTTCAAAATAACAAAATATATCCATGTACAAAATAAATGTATGTACAAAATATAAGCATGTACAAAAAAATGTATGTAGAAAATATATGTATGTACAAAATATATGTCTGTACAAAGTATGTGCATGTACAAAATAAATGTATGTACAAAATATAAGCATGTACAAAGTATATCTATGTACAAAGTATATGTATGTACAAAGTATATTCATGGACAAAATATATGTATGTACGAAGTATATGTATGTACAACATATATGTATGTACAAAATAAATGTATGTACAAAATATAAGCATGTACAAAATAAATGTATGTATGTACAAAATATATTTATGTACAAAGTATACGCATGTACAACATATATGTATGTAGAAAATATATGTATGTACAAAGTATATGCATGTACAAAGTATATGCATGTACAACATATATGTATGTACAAAATAAATGTATGTACAAAATGTATGTATGTACAAAATAAATGTATGTATGTTCAAAATAACAAAATATATCAATGTACAAAATAAATGTATGTACAAAATATAAGCATGTACAAAAAAAATGGATGTACAAAATATATGTATGTACAAAATATATGTATGTACAAAATATATGTATGTACAAAATATATGGATGTACAAAGTATATGCATGTACAAAGTATATGTATGTACAACATATATGTATGTACAAAATATATGTATGTACAAAATATATGTATGTACAAAGTATGTGCATGTACAAAATAAATGTATGTACAAAATAAATGTATGACAAAATATAGGCATGTACAAAGTATATCTATGTACAAAGTATATACATGTACAAAATATTTGTATGTACAAAGTATATGCATGAACAAAATATATGTATGTACAAAGTATATGCATGTACAAAGTATATGTATGTACAACATATATGTATGTACAAAATATATGTATGTACAAAGTATATGTTTGTACAAAATAAATGTATGCACAAAATATAAGTATGTACAAAGTATATGTATGTACAAAATAAATGTATGTACAAAATATATGCATGTACAAAATATATGTATTTACAACATATATGTATGTACAAAATATAAGCATGTACAAAGTATATGTATGTACAAAGTATATGTATGTACAAAGTATATGCATTTACAAAATGTGTATGTACAAAGTATGTGTATGTACAAAATAAATGTATGTACAAAATATATGCATGTACAAAATATATGCATGTACAAAATATATGTATGTACAAAGATTGCTAATTACCATTCTACTGGAGCAATGATTGATAGGGACATCCTTTCTTAAATTGCAATTTAGATACTCTCAACAATGATTCTTAATTTATGAGTACCCAACTTCTTTTAATATTACTGTCAGGTGATGTACATCGTAACCCTGGACCGATAATCACAGATAAATATATGACTTATAATAGTTCAATACTACATTTAAATGTCAGATCTATTCGTAATAAATTTGACTTACTTGATTCTGAATTCGCTGATATTGGCATTCTTTGTATCACTAAAACTCACTTGAACAATACTCTAGATGATGATCTTATTCTACTTAAATCTCACTCACAATTATTCAGAGAAGATCGTAGAGATAGACCTGGTGGAGGAATAATTATTCATGCTAAAACAATATTCATGCTGTTAGAAGATCTGATTTAAAACCAATTAATATGGAAAATATGGTGCTGGAAATTACCACATCTAATAAAAAAAAAATTACTTTACTGTTTATATAGATCATCAAACTCTCTAGTACAGTACTGGCCAACATTTGACAACCTAATTGAAAATCTTGTGGATGCTAACTCTAATGTAATAATTACGGGTGACATAAATAAGGATATGCTACTTTTACCTAATAATTCACATCTTGCCAAAATCTTAACAAAGTTTCAATTAGTTAATCTAATCCAATCTCCTACGAGGATAACTAATATTTCTTCTACCAGTATTGATGTGATTTATATTAATAACATAGGTTTAGTACAGAATAGTACAAAGTTCTCTCTCCACTCTGTAGTGACCACTGTCCAATAATTTTAAACTTGTCTTTTAAAGTATTAGAAAGAAAAGTCATATATTTACATTTGCATGGCATTGTCACTATATAGCCTCTTTGAAAGCTTTGTCGTTGATGGGACTTTAATTACCATGCATCACGAGACACAATTATTAGCGTATTAATACAACACTTACCGGAGCTACAATATCCAATATAAATAAACATGACGGCTGCTGAAATATCGCTGGGTATTGTGAGATTTGACAATGTCATTGTAAATTTATGTGCAAAATAAAAAAAATAAATAAAAAAAACCACTTTATTACAACGAAAACAAGACCAAGTTCTGCAATATCGTACAAAATGCACATCGGTTGAAATCACCAATGCCGGCAATGGAAACAATTTTAACGCTCTGACATGCAATTTATTAGAAATATCGTCTGTTACACTGCACTGATCAACAGGGATTCATTACAAATGTCTAAAATACACATATTCTATATACCTACTGACACACATGTTACAGACCTACTGATATGAGTCACAGCACACATCAACATTTCAGACATTTGTAACGAACCTGTGCTCCCTATCAGTTTCTGACGACATGTCAACTGACGAGGCAATTATAAAATCAATACATTCACGCCTGGATTCTTCACAAAATGAGCAAAGAGAAAAGTTCGAATTACCTTCCAAAAATAACTCCCTCGTGGAGGGCAAGGTCGGATTTACGTTGTTCACTGTATTTGTCCATGCGCGAAATTTTTTTCAGCTCAGAGTTCTAGTGATAAACTTAAATCACCCTATAGACATATCATACGCAATTGTATTGATACTGAATTGTGGAATACAATTGAAGTGTTTGTTAAAATTTCAAAGTACTACTTTGTTTGCCAATCAGCACGCGACAATACGCTGTTCGAACTATTGAACGAAATTGTGTGGACTGTCGATAAGGCGGGCATTTTGAATTTTGAATATAAATTATAAGTTAAAAAAGAACATAAGAGGCAGAGATGTTCAAAGATGTCCTATTGTATGACATGAGGAAACAATAAGGTAAAACTTTGACCGAAAGTGGGTTTCTGGGGGTACCAAAAGGGGTAGGGTAAATCACAATTATATTTTGCTGTTTTCAAAATGAGCTTAAATAGACAAAATAATACCATTTCTGTTTTTGAAAACATGTATAAATTAGACAAGCATATGTAACAGAATGAAAAATGACAGAAATTCAATCGTCACTTAAAGGATTAAGTCAGGAGGGTATTTTTGGTCATTTTCAATTGAAAAGTAATTTGTTTTCTCAATAATTTCGTTTCTAATAAACATTTTGACTTGAAATTTACAACTTTACTCATTTAAGAAGACTTACATAAATTGAATATTGACTACATACTTCCCTTTTGTTTTATACT